TACCAGAGAAAGATTTTTGGCAATCCGACCAGCGGTTCCAAAGATTACCCCTACATACAAACTTACAAATTTACAAATTTTACCTCTTTATAATATTAGTATGGATAATGATTCCATTCAGAGTTAATTTTTAATACTTTGCCATTTGTCTATTCAAATTATTGTAGCTTATTTATAATTTTGAGAATTATGCAAATAAAATGCGTAATAGCTGACGATCTTGTAATTTTTCTTTCTCACTGCAATAGAGAAATTGTTGAAAATCTTCCTCTAAAACGGTTCGTAATTTGGCTCTCACGGCGAATCATAATAAAAGCGTTGTTTCACGTCGGTTTTCTATGAGGCCGTGGTATCACTTCGGACCAGCTGGACTATTTGTGCTGAAGTATCATCATTAGCCTATAGGTGCCCACTGCTAAGCAAAGGCCTCTTTTACACGGAGAAGGTTTGAACCATGGTATGCCTCCTGACACAATAAATATCTACAAGTTTACTGTAATCATAGTACCATAGTACCTACACAATGACTGCATGATTGTCGCAGTGGCTGGGCAACTAGCTACTGTGCAACAATTCGTGGGTTCGATTCCAATTCGAGCAACGCTGCGTGGTGATCCATAAATTTGAGTGCAAATAAGCTCTCTTAAACATAAAAAAAAATGGCTTCTGTATGTAAACGCATCCACGACACAGGTAAATAGGTAGGAAAATATTAATGTGAGACAACGTCTTTTTAAAGAAACAAAATCTTTTTTTTATATAAATATTTAATTAGGCATAAAAGTTTAATTGTATTTACAATCCTATCTACATTATTATCTTTGACAACCGAATATGGTAAATATGGCTCCTATAAACATACATATGCGATGCGATGTCCCTTCTCTATGAACTAGTGAACTCGATCCAGGTCATAGCTCCGACACATCGGTTACTGTGCCGCGATTAAATTGGCTATCGTTTATGCATAACTACGCACAGTACAGGGAACACAGTTTGCATTGAAAGTCGGCTTTATTGCACTAGAAGTAGGCTGTATATTATGAAGATGAATTAATGGCTGTATTAGTATTGGTAGAAGCTTCGACTTCAATCCCTAAAGACGTCGATAGGTAGGTTTTTTAAGTGATATGACGGTAATCGAGTTTACGGAGTACCTGATAGATAGCAATCTGCGCCGCCAATGGACACCCGTAACAACGGAGGAGTTACGAGTGCGTTGCTGACCGGTTACTATGTTCCATGCCGGTTTTCTGAGAGGCCGCGGTCACATGTCACTCATTCATCATCAAAACATTATCAAAACTATATCTGAAGAGATTAATGATTAAAACATATTATGCATTACGATATTCTCCTCTGTCTTCTATTGTTTGTAAACAGGAGCCATGAAGTGGTACATTACCACTTTGAGTTCAGGAAAAAGATAGAATTCGGCTGGACCCATATCTGGCGAATATGGTGGCTGCTCAATGGTATTTGTTGAGTTTTAGGTCAAAAATTCGTTCACAATGATGGCCTTGTACGAAGGCATGCCTTCGCACCTGGCCACTGGAGCAGTAAAAGATATGGGAAAGCCGAAAAGAGAAACCACCACAAACTGGGAAACAAGCCCGATGTTGAACCAGGGTTGCATGGCTAGCGCAATAAGGTACCGCGGCCTCAGCTTCAAGCAGGAGAAGGTACAAGGGAGTTTTTAGTCAATGAAAGTCTGACACTCCCTCTCGCCTCACCCTGGACAAGAGAAGTCATTGGATATTTTTTCCCTAAGAAAAACAAAAGGTGATTCTGAATGGAAAACCAGCCGGACGATCTAGAAGCAACAACGAGTTTGACGTTCAGCTGTCGTACTTTTATTGAGTTTTATCGCTCTGGGTGGCGCGAGTATTTATCTCTTACTGACTAAAAACCACCCCGCCCTCGCAATTTGCAAGAGAGAGGAAGAAAATGTTGTCTACAAAAACCACAGGTGCTGGTGCTGCAGATATTAAGAAATCAAAATGGAAATTTTATGAAGAATTAATTTTCTTACAAAGCACGACGACAAGGGTCGGTGGTGCGGATACTTTAAATGAAACAGTGAGCGCATTATTCATATTTTATTTTTATGTAAACAGCTGTAGGCATGTAAATATTCTATCTAACATATACGAAAACACTACCGCCATAGCATTAAGCTACATTGTTTTGCCACGGCAAGCTTCCTCTTTCGCTCATGAAATATTCACCAAATTGATCCCTTATGATTGTAGCAGTACGTGCTGAATTTCTAGGTCGCCTTTCCAATTCCAAAATTGAAGTTCCTTCAACTGTATACTCTCTACGCCAAGCACCTTCTATGACATTATGGTCACTGTCTTCAAAATCAAAAGTCATCGGGGGCGTATACAAGGCTCTAGATTGTTTATTCCTTCTTAAAAAGTTATGCATGTAAAGACAGGCCATTACAATAAGTTCACAATTTTCAGGCTTGAGAGGAATTGGTTTACGAAATACACGAAAAACCACGCATAAAATTCCAAAAACATTTTCTACAACCCTCCTGGCCCTACAGAGTCTATAGTTGAAAATTCGTTTCATTGTGCCACGGTTATGAATACCCGGGTACGGCCTCATCAAGTTTTCCGATAATGGGAATGCACTATCGCCCAGTATTACATAAGGAAGGTCAGGTCCATCTGGTGATATCGTTTCTTGGTTTGGAAAATTAAGACGGTGTTCCACCATTCTTTGATAGAAACTCGTTTCTTGAAAGATGCCACTGTCAGATGCTCTTCCTTTCCCACCACAGTTTGCATATATAACATTATAAGATGCATCTACAATAGCCAGTAGTACAATACTAAACTGATCTTTGTAGTTGTAGTAATCACTGTTACTATTGCTAGGCGCTTCAATAACCACATGCTTCCCACCTATAGCTCCGACACAGTGTGGAAAATTCCATAATTCGTTCCACTCACGGGCCTTTTCTTTCCAGTGCGCTTCGGAACTCGGAACCTTAAAAAAAAAGTGTTTAAAATTGCAGGCAAACCGTGAAGACCTCCTGGCAACTGAGGAGCCAGAACAGCAATCGGAGCAGCAGAAACCACAATCTCCACTTCCACCATCCCCACTACCATCTACAAGTAGCAAAATAGCATCTAAAAGAAAAGTGGATGACAATCTAAGTGAAGTATTTGAAATAGTTAAATCTGCAAAACGCAAAATGGATGAATCTAAGGATGAATATGATATTTATGGGCAATACGTCGCTTCAGAATTAAGAGCGGTACAAAACGAGACTGCCGTAATACAAGCCAAGGCTTATATTAATAATATTTTAATAGACATGCGAATGGGCAAATACAATTATGGTTACGGATATCATAGCCATCCCGGATATGAAACTGCGTCGACACCAGCAAGTTCAACCTCACAAAAAGAACTTGAAACCATTGAAGAGATAGTTTCACAAATCGCATCAGTAGAAGAAACCGATAGTAGTACCCAGTAGATAGTTCGCCTAATTTTGTATAATTAATAAAAAAAATATTGATTCATAACTTAGTTTTTCTTACCTGGATGTAGTTCTTCAACACACGTATTATATTCTTACAAACTTCGGGTATGATCCGGCTGATTAATTGTTTGGAAACTCTAAAAGTGTATGAGAGTGAAGAATATGAATCTCCAGTAGCTAAATATCTTAAAGTAATGGCTAGTCTTGTTTCAGCGGTAACTGCACTTCGTAAGTTTGTATCTTGTTTCTCTATAAATGGTCCAACATTTTGCAAAAGATATTCAAAATCTGATTTTGACATTCGTAGAAAGTTTATAAATGATCCATCAAACATGCATAAATCACTTAATACGTCTTGTCTTCTTAGCAAGTAATTCCTGACCCACCATCTTTTACGTTTCTTTTTACTAGAAATGGACTTATGCAAAAAAATGTAGGCACCACATAACAACACTACTTCCTCGGGCGACATGACCTAAGCAACTGACTGTGTGGACGGCAGAGTTTCCGAAACATTGTTCCTGGAAACGTTTACGTGATGTTTCAGAAACTGTGTATCCGAAACACTGTTGCTCAGTGAATACATGGCTTTAGATTGAGGAGCCACCTTTTCATTAAAATATCTAGTGATATAATAATTTGCTGCTAAATCCAGAATTCGTGCTGCAACATAGGCTATTTCGCTGCTAAATAATGGTAAGATCAGATTTTTAAAACCTGACGTGGCTCCTCAATCCTTTTTACAACTTACACCTTAGACCAGACCAATTAAGGTATATTTTTTTAAATTGAATCTTTCAAACAATCTTGTTAAATAGTTTTATTATTAAATATCCTTTCAGTTCCATATATTTGTGCCAAGGTAACGAAAATATAATAAAATCTGTCGGAAGCTGCAATTACTTAATTGAAGTATATGTACATAAATAACGTAACGTAAGTGTTACAGACAGACACACTCTAGTTACATTGAGATGGTATACAAGGTCAGGATTTAAAAAAGTTAAAATTGTTATCAGGTTCTGCCGCTTTGGTAGAGTGATTGGAAACCCTATCTGTCGAACAATGGGTTTCAGTTCGATTCCAAGGTCAGGCAGTAAATGCTGTAAATAGTTGTAGCGGAAGTTTATAGGATTAAGAAATCGTGATAAGAGGTCTGGATTAGATGATAGGGGTAGCCCTTGGATTATCCTCACGCCGCAGCAGGTAACAATCCGGCCGTCGAGATCCAGCGACGATCTCCAGCCATCGTTAGTGGGGGTCTGCGGACGGCGAGCAAGATGCCTGGCCAAAACACTGTCATGAGTTTCTATGGGAGAATCAAGCTTAGGAACGTATGGGCTGGTTCCCCCGCCCATATACATTAATATTTAATATTAAGACAAATAAATGTATATTAAAACATTTTAAAAAATATATAAAATAAAATCGTATAAATAGTAACAATCAGTTGCAAACCACATGTTTTGGTCACAAATATAGAGTAAATCCGTCCACATTAATTTCTGCACTTGGGCTTTTTAGATTTATCTCCTCCACCGCATTTTCGCTCTGGGAGTACAGCGTGGCCTCCCTTTCCACCTCCGCCTCTCCCTGCACACGGATTTGAACTGCTTCCACCACCTTTCCTGCCACCACATACAGGGTTTTTACCTCTTCCTGCCCCGCCTTTCCTACCACCACATGGGTTTTTACTACCACCTCCTCTCTTTGCACAGGCTCGAGGTTTTCCACCTCCTGACCCACGTTTTGCACAAGCTCGAGGTTTATTACCACCCCCCTTTCTGCTACCACATGCGCGAGGTTTCCCGCCACCTCCTTTTCTGCTTCCACATGCTCGAGGTTTATCACCACCTCCTTTTCTACTACCACATGCTCGTGGTTTCCCACCACCTCCTTGTCTGCTACCACATGCTCGAGGTTTCCCTCCACCTCCTGCCTTTTCTTTTCTACTGCGACAAGCTCGAGGTTTATCATCACCTCCTGCTCCTCCTTTTCTACCACCACAAACAGAACCTTTTCCACCACCCTTCCTAGGAGGGCAAGCTTTTGTAGAGTAGAATCTGCATAATTTCATAGGAACAGTGAACGTGCACTTCCTCCGTTGACATGGATTCGATTTAGGCTTCGACTTTCTAGAGCAGGGGTCAGCTTTGCTCGTAGTTGGGGGGCAAACGGGACCTTTTTTTTGATTCCCGCAAGGGCTTTCTCCTCCCTTAGTTTTGGGTGCCGGAGGAGGACACCTCGGATTTTTGACATCATAATAGAAGTTGTACGAGGTTTGAAATGGGAAACTGAACCATGGCGTAACAGTAACAGGTGGAAAGGTGTGTGCCTGCAAACAACAAGTCAATGTTGATTCATTACGTCTACAATGATGATGCGACATCTCTTTGACAAAAACAGTGATCAAAACTTAATGTTTTAGAGCGAACCGATTGAGTTCATCTCCTTATCCGTATGTCATAGTACTTAGTAGTAGCTAAGTCTGCCTCTGGTCAGTCGAATAATAAATAGCTATAATTATGGGGTTAATACTTGTAGAGGTTTTTATTAATGTAGAAGAAAATAAAAAACGTTTTTCTTACCGTAGTAAGCCATTTGCCCGTAAGCGGAATATGCGAAAAATTCCGCGCCACAGTTGTATTCCTCAATGGTTCGGATAGAACCAATTTAGCGAAGTTTTGTGTAGAACTTTTAACGTAATCCTGTTGGTAGTATTTACAGTCCAGTTTGCGCAACGGTATAGACCTGGGTATGACTAATCTAGAGAACCCATTATAAATTCGTGTCTCCTGTCCCGAAAATACGTCATTCAAATTTTGATAACCTGATGCAATATTCAACACATTTAATTTTAAACGTTTCGTCATATTTATAATATTTAATTACAAAAAATAATTAAACGTCACGCATAATTTTGTTTATTAAGTTGTCATTGGAAATTGAAAATGATAGAAAAGAATAAGTTTTTCACAATGTGCCAACTTTCATTTTGTGTAAGAAGGTTTTAATAATTCAGAATGATAGAAGTTTTGTTTTAAATACTTTTTTGCGATAATATGATACCAAAACTATATTTTGTTCACAAAATTCTGTGTATGTGTAAGTGTGGGAGAGCCAAGCTTCGCCACAAATGGGTCAGCTCGACCGAAGTGGAACCACGGCCTCACAGAAAACCAGTGTGAAACAACCACAGCGTTGTGTTTCGCCGTGTGAGTGAGATCCTTAAATACCGTAGCTCCTTTGGTATAGCGGGTGTCCATGGGTTGCGCTGATTGCTTACCACCAGGTAATCCGTCTGCTCGTTTGCCGAATAAAAATAAGTAAAGATATGTAAAAAAAGATCAATCTGCATAACAAAAACTCATTGGGAAATCTAGGATAGTATGTTAACTTATATATACTGGATATGCCAGAAACAATCTAAAGGGCAGTCTTTATTTCAAGTAATCGAACGACGAAGTTTTCTGACGACGAAGGAGTTTTTTTTTTGTAATGGGATATTGGCAGAACTACAAACTGACAATGTAACACAATGTAAAACAATATAAAAATTAGAATTCAAATATTTTCGACGTTTTTGGAATATTACCATATCACATCTAGATTAGATTATCACCATCATCCTCTATAAGGAGTTAAAACATCAAAAAGAAAACTTGTAATCTAGCATTGAAAAAAGAAGGCTTTTACCTACTTAAAATAACTCACTTCTGTAAATAAGCCAATATTTGAAATAAGTTAAAAGTAAAACTAATAATAATAATCATCAAAAAACGTTTTATGAACAAATCAGATTAAAGAAAAACAGACCACAAAGTAAACAGTAGTTTACTTCACAGTGAATAAAAAGTTATACCAACAGTTAAACAAGTTCCTCAGTAGTAACGCCAAAAGCACTACGATATTTACTAAAAACTAAGAAATTATGATACGACAAAATAAGACTTAAAGTTACTCATTGACTTTAGGCAAGAGTAGTAGAATCAAGATCTGAAATAATAGAGACAGATCAAAGACAAATGCTAGACATCTCCAAAAAGTTCGAGCTGTCATAAATAAGAAAGTATCATAGTACCTGAAACTTCGTATACAGAGAGCTAAGTGAACAAAATAACAAATAACAACCACAAGTGTGGAACAAAAGTGTGGGAGAGCCATGCTTCGGCACGAATGGGTCGGCTCAGCCGGAGTGATACCACGGCCTCACAAAAAAACCGGCGTGAAACAACCACAACGTTGTGTTTCGCCGTGTGAGTGAGGTTACCGGAGGCCCAATCCTTCCCCTACCCCAATCCCTTCCCAGTCCCAAAATCCCCAAAATCCCAATCCTTAAATGGTCGGCAACGCACTGGTAACTCCTTCTTTGTTGCGGGTGTCCATGGGCGACGCCGATTGCTTACCATCAGGTAATCCGTCTGCTCGTTTGCCGTCCTATCACATAAAAAAAAAAAAACAAATACTTCTATCACCAACTCAGACAACATTTTTTCCATCACCGCTAGCATCAACCACGCTTAGACAATCGCAACAGCCAAATCTGCCTTAACATGCCCAAATGAACATGAAATGTATATAGGTATATGTATCAATAACATTATTTAAACGCAATTCTATACTTTATATCCCACCATAAAAAATTAACAAACAATATAAAAAAATCTCATAGCTCCATAATGCACTTGCGCTTTTTCAAGTTTACATAATATATAATGTGAAGGTTGTACACTTTCTTAGGCGGGGAGGCTTCGCCGGTCGTCTGCTCGTTCAGTCGCAGGAGTCGCGCGCACCACCGCGCATGTGCAGTGACGAGTTGAGTTACTTTTATATTTAAACCTTTCTATAGTGCTGTGTATGGATAAAATGAGGCTAATATTTTGGGTAAGTTTCATCCTATATTTTGTGATAAAAAAAATATTTTTTTTATGTGTTTTTTTTCCGAATTATAATTTCGGTTTCGAAGTGATGTTTCCGATTTTATATGTTTTGGTAAAAGTGGGAAATCATTGTGTCAAACTGTTGCATGTTAAGCTTGGATAGAGTGTGACTCGCGCCGGTGTGGACTATAAAAAGCAATAGTTATTGTGTTGTTTGTAGTGTTAATTGATTTTGTACGTGAATAATATTTACTATATATCCTCTGTAATTTAATTAATTATAAAGTGGAGAGAATTGAATTGCTTGAATAAAATTAAGAAGTAAGCAAAAATCACGTAAAATATTTCTTCCTGGTCTTATCTCAAATTAATTGGGATGAGCATTATAATTTATACTCATCTGTCTTACTTTATGCTTATTAAAACATAGAAGTTCTATAGCACATGTGTAAAAGTTTTAGAAAACATCTGTCGGTACGTTATTTAAAAATAACGCTTGACCGTTCAATTTCTCTCTATACGTAGCTGTCTATTTATAAAGCTGTCATAGTACATAACAGCTTTCAATTACATTATTTCGCACTTCATTAAATAACTACTAATATATTCTAATGTAAAAAAAATGAAAATAATAATTATAAATTCAAATAAAACCCATAAAAATGATCATTAAAACTTCATAACACAATATGTTAAACGATCATTTACATCAGAGAATGTAAATCGCCGAATGCCAAAATTTCACCAGCATAATGACGTAAAATCGTATAAATATACAGTTATACATTTTCTATACATTTATACATATTCGAAATTTAAAAAGATTATGTAAAAAATCTGATATGTATGGTTGAAATGTAGGTCGTGAGTTCGTCCGTTCGGTCAGATTCGCGAAAGGAATTCTGTAGTATAAAAGACATCAACGCGCGGCTCTCTTAAAGTGAGACGACACGGCGAGTTTTCACCTAGGTATTTATTTTATACTTGAGTGTATTATACAACTCGTTACAATGTACACTCTCTATATTTATCTCGATAGAGAGTGTCTAGTTTTGTCGCTCTATGTACTACGGATGAGAAAAAATGTCATATGTACTATATTAGTACTAAAAAAATGTTAAAAAATTACAATACATTGAATTACTTGTGTTCTTATTCTACACAAAGTTTGATTTGTTCAAAACATGTCATTTGAAGACTATCATATATTTTTTTATATACTCCAACGATCGGAATTGGATTAAGATATCCATCATCATCCATACCCATATTACATTTAAATTACTATATCATACAAAAAACTGGGACGAGACCGTTCATTGCCCCTCATCATAAGAGAGGCTTCAATAATGACAGCTTCAGACTTCCGGCAGGAGATTTATGCAACAGAAATGCATAAAGGCTTTATGTCTTCATTTGCATAAATATAATTACTTACGTTAATTAAAGTTTATTATTTAACGTAACCCATTACGGCTGCATTTGTGCATCGAAATAATGTTTTGAAGTCATATTCAAAATTTCAGTAATAACAGTTATGTAATTATTTGTAATGTAATATAGTAAATATTCATTTTACAGTATTCATTTTGATGTAAATGTAATGTACATGTGATGTTTATATATACACTTAAGTTGATTTGTCTGGTTGTAATGTTTTTTTTTAAATAGCTTATTACAAAATGATTGTTTTTATATAAAATCATAATACATGTATATATTGTTTTCAGCCTGAAATAGACAGACAGAAATATATTCTAAGTACTCAATACAACAAAATTCAAGTAAACACTTCTGCTTAATTAAACCACCATATTATGTAATTACGCGAATCTGTATCACCAATAAATATATTACATAATGAGTTTTACATTGCAATATAATACTGTTCCACTTATCATTGAGTAATATGCATATTTTCAGTCATACAAACTCAGACAACCTCTCAAGACCTTGATCAACGTAAACAACTGAATAAAAGTGAAATAATTTCATACAAATAAATATGTATGAATGCGAAAGTTGCTAAATTGATGCGAAGCGATTAGATTGTACATATATACATTTTTTGTATTTGTATAATTAATAAAATGCCAAGGTCGTATGAAGATGTGTGCAATGTTCGGTAACCATATCTACGTTGCGAAACTATTTCTCAGTGAATCTGCTTTATGATGCAGCAAGCTATGGTTTACTTCTGTAAAAGTACATATGTATTTGATCGAGTTTTAATAAATTTAAAGTTTTTTTTTTTGCTTTGCTGGTTCACTTATTTGGTTGAAGCTGGTACTGGGTTTGAGATTCCGGGTTTGTTTTTAGGTCATTGTTAGGTTTTTTTTATATTGTGTCGAAGTTTATTTTGGTCACAACTGGCATCAGGAGGAAATGTATTATGAGGGAACTTAGTTTTATAATTTCTAAATTTAAATTGATCGATGCTCAAACATGCTCCGTGTGTGAAGAGGCCTTTGCTCAGCAGACGTAGCGTAGCCCTAATCAAAAAGAGGCCAAAAATAATTTTGAATCGTAATTTTTTTTCAATAATATTGTAATTTTGATACTTTACTCGATTCTGTTTTCAATTAAACGTGCGATAGGTACTTAATAGTTGATGACGATGATTCAATGATCATAAAATTTGTTCTAACGTTTAACAGAAGTCGTTTAGCGAAATGATGTAACAAACATTGAATCGGAGAAAGTGTAAATTCAAATTAATAAACATCACTCATTTTGGAGTCGTTTTTACAAACGTACGACTTTTTATACAATTATATCATAACTGCAAAAAAGACATTAAGAGGATATAGCTTATAATTTAATGTATACATGTGTATATTTGTATTATGTATGTTTAGTAATTAAATCTGTTTTATGTGTTTTCATGAAAGTTAATGAAGTATTAAATAACAGTTGCCATAATATAAAAATATATCATGTATAGGTAATC